CCCCCCGCCCGCCCGCCGCTCACCCAGAAGACGAAATTGAAGACGAAGAGCAAGTACTTGATGCACTTGGTGCAGCCCTCCACCCCCATGGCGGCTCGAGGCTGTGGGGCACGGGCCGATCCTGAGCGGCGGGCGGGCCGGGGACGCGGGGCCGGGTGGGCCGGATGCCTGGCGGGTGGGCCGGGAGTCCTCAGGGCCGGGAGGCTGGGGTGCGGCGGGAAGGGCACAGGCGACGTGTGGATGCGAGGTCTGCCTGGGTTCACTAGAGTCTTCGCTGCTAATGCGCGCTCACTCTGCGCGCGCGCCCTGCGCCGCGCAATTTATAGGCGGCCCAGGCCCCGCCTCCATCTGGTCTCGCCCCTCAGTCTCCTGCGCCCCCTCCCTCCGGCCTCGCCTCCCGCCATGGGCACCCAGACAGGGATGCCCCGGCAAGGGGTGCCTCCCAGGCCACATTCCCTTAGCGGTTTGGGACTTTGATGCCACCGAGATCTCGGGGCCAGGGTGCACTGTGGTGCTTGCGGGATGTGTCCCGGAGCTGCGTAGGGCTCCGGGCCCTGGGGCCTGACTGCAGGACGGCGCCTGAAGAAGCACCGTATAGCGGTGGCCTAGAAACGCAGCCAGGAATGCCTCCCAAGGAGGAGCTCTCCCTCTCTTCTTCTGACGCCTCAGACGTTCAGAGGAGGCTCCCTGGAGGAGTTGACAAACCTTGCAAAAATAGCATGCTTTGTTATATTGCTCTCCCAGGAAGGAATTTGGGTGAATGTGAAGCCAGAGCAGGGCATGGGCCTGAAGGTTTACAATGCCATTCTAGGCAGCCAATCCCTTGTCCCATGGAAAGGGGGAGTCTCTGGTCGCTGTTCAGAGTGTCTGCTTTTGGAAAGTTCACTGATGCAACCAGAGCATCCCCAGAGCAGCAATAAGTGTCTAACCCTCCAGCCACTGCAGGAGAACTCCCAAATGCTGTGCATTTCGCGGTTGCACCAGCTTCCCAGGATCCAGAGGTGGGATGGCATCTTCCTGAAGGTGCCAGAGACTGAGGAGTGCTTTCTCCCCAGGTGATCAGGGAATGCTGTCACCAATGCTGATACACCAATAGTAAAGGTTTCCTACATCTTCCCTCCAAGAAACACTGGAGGATGAATGAAAGGGCTGCTTCAACAGCAGAGCCCAGATGGAGACCACGAGAGACCAGCTCCAGAAATGCAATCTTCACCCAGGTCAGTCCACCTAGCAGAACATCACCTGTCACAGCATGTGCTGGAACTTTCTGCAGTGATGGGCACGATCTGTATCAGGGTAACGCTTGGCACAAGAAAGGGACACTAGAAATGTGGCCACCAAAGAACTGAAGTTTGAATTATGTACCATTGTAATTTACATTTAAATATCCCTGGGTGGTCAGTAGCTACAAGGGGTGATAGAAAGATAAATTGAAAGTTTAAATTTTTTAAAAAATACAATATGAGACACATTGCCAAGAGCAGTGGGTGTTTTCAAAGTGACAGGGGTTATTTTTAAGGGAGATTAATGGCAGTATGTCTTTTATTGTAATAAAATTTTAAATTTAAACATTTGTCATGTGTTTTGATCACCTCTCATCAATCAAATGTTTATGGCAATTTCTGTCAAAGAAAAATTTCTGTCCCCATCAACCTTATTCACTGTATATAGCACTGTGTGATTTCTGACTCTTCCCTAAAGTCAAATGATCATAAAAGGTAAACATTTAGAACATTTAGAACAATGAGGCAGCCAAGATAGCTTAACTAAAGACACTCATGAAAGAGAACTTTCAGAACTGCTTCAGAAAGTAGCAAGAATGATAAGTGTGTTTGAAGTGAGGGAGAGTACATTGGAGGGGATTAATGGCAATGTGTCATATACTGTAATAAAAATTTTAAAAATTTAAACCTTTAGTGTATTTTTTTTAATTACACCTCATACCACACTGGACAGAACAACTCTTGGAATCATCTGTTCTCTGCTAGATTTATACTTTTCTTGGTGGTTAATTTCTAAATTTGTTTTAGGCTTCATGCTTGGATATGAGCTACAAGCACAAGTTTATGACTGGTTTTATGTTTGGTGCATGTCAAAGTGACAATAAAAGAAACTTAAGTCTTCATGTAAGCATCTGTAAAGATTCTTTGTTTAAAGGGGGCAGAATGGGCCTCATTGTGGAGGACGTTTCTCTGGATTCCTGGGCACCTGTTCTCCCATCAACTCCCCACCCTCTCTAGCAATGGGGACATTCCCACCAAGTATGGGATGCACACTGGGTCCTTGGACCACCAGCCCCCAAGGCAGATTGTGCCAGCTTGTTCCGTCCTCTTTCATGGTCATGCATCAAATGCTTAGTGGTGCCCACTGAGTGCCAGGTGCTGGGCTAGGGCTGGCTGGGGAGAGCCTGGCAACCAGGACCTCTCCTTAATTGTTAAGAACTGTAGGCTCTGGGGGTGACAGGTGTCATCATGAGATGATCATATCAATGCTGAGGAAGGGGGATTCTCTTGATGCTTGATAGTGACCATGGGGGTCACTCCAGTAGTGTGGAGTCTCAAAGGAACCTGGATACATCCTGACAACTGAGAAGGAGTCAACCTGGAGAGCAGCCTAGGCAGTGGGGAGAAGATGGAGGAACAGAAAGGAAGCCCTCAAACTAGGAGCAGATGGAGCAAGGGAAGAGAGCTAGACACAAGGTAAAGGGCAGAAAGCTCTGGAGGCAGGCAAGTGGGTATTCAGGCTTAAAGACCAGAGTGATGTTGCATCCTATTCCAACTGCAGTGGGGTGATGGGAGGGCTTCCTAGGCCTGCCTTCTGGCTGAGGAAGATACATGACCCATAGGGGAACTAATGTGAACAAGCACAGAGGTTTGCTAGTAGGATGGCTCCAGGGGTATATGGGGCTCACCTCATGGCCTGGCACCTATAACACCCACCTCTGAAGTGCCCTGCCCAGCACTCCCAGTTTGACTTCATGAAGACCTCAGGGAAGCCAGAGACACCATGATATGATGGCTATCTGTGTGGTTCTTAGGCAAGTGGGCACCCAGGGGTAACTCTGTAAGGGTGCTTGTGGTCAGCTGGGCCCAAGGAGCCTTGCATCCTAGCTCAGAGCACTGGGATAAACACAGCTGAGCTGTGTTAAAAGATGAAGGAGAGAAAGGGGGAGGAACTCACCCCCTGGTGTGCCTGGGATGGGAGGTCCCTGCAGAGCCAGTTGTCATGGGGAAGGGGGTAGATAGTGGCAGGTGGCACCCCAACTGGGCTTGTGTCAGTCATTCCCAGTGTGTGACTCTGTGCAGTTTCCTCAGTTTCCCCATCTGCAGTAGAGCCCCTGCACAGTGTTACTAGGGTGGTGACTTGTGACAGTTTGCCCATAGCACTTGGTGAATATGGAAGAATTAAGGCCCCTGGCTCCTGTGAGCTCCATTTGACTAAGAGACTCTGCAGCCTGGCACAGGTCCAGGGGCTGGTGACACTGCACCCAGAGTGCCCTTTCCATCTGGGGAGTGTACAGAACCTTTCTGTACCTCAGTTTCCTAAAATACATGGTCACTAAATGAGAACAAACAGGTGATATTAAGGAAGAGCTTGCTCTAGCGAAGGATTGAGGCCACTGTCACCTGTCCCTCCCAGGACTCAAAAGCAGCTTGGGGAGTTGGGAGAGTTTATCTTCCCCAAACAACCAAAGTAAAACAGGACAAACAAAGTAAAAAGCCACGTGATCATCTCAACAGGCACAGAAAAAAACAGCTTAATGGAACCCTGCTCTCTCTCTCCTTGTGTCACCAGGAAAAGAAGGAATCTCTTCCTCCAATAAAGGGCATCAACAGAAAACCCACAGTTAATGTCATGCTCAGTGGCAAAAGACTGAACACTTTCCCCTGAAGGTCAGGAACAAGGCAAGACAAACAGTCTCAACATTTCTATTCAACATTGTACTGGAGGTTCTAGTCAGAGCAATTAGGCAAGAAAAAGATGTAAAAGGCACCCATATTATAAAGGAAGAAGTAAAAATGTTGTGGGCTGAATGTTCGTGTCTCTCCCGATTCACGTGTTGAAATCTCAACCCCAAGGTGATGGTGTTTGGAGGTGGGCCTTTGAGGGATGATTAGGTTATAAGGACAGAGTCTTCAATAATTGGATGAGTGCTCTTACAAAAGAGGCCCCAGAGAAACTCCTTTTTTATACTATATGAAGACACAGCGTGAAGACCACTATTTATAAACCATGAAAGCTGGCTCTCATCAGATACCAAATTTACCAGCACCTCAATCTTGGATTCCCAACTTCCAGAAATACAATAAATAAATTTCTCTTGTTCTAAGCTATCTGGTCTGTTATTCTGTTATATTCTGTTATATATATATTCTGTATCTCAAACAGACTAAGATAAAACTACCTCTATTTGCTGATTACATGATATTGTACACAGAAAATCCTAAGAAATCCACCAAACACTTATAAAGATAAATGATTATTTTTAGCAATGGTGGCAGGATATGAGATCAATATTTCAAAAACAATATTATTTCTATACACTAATGATAAATAATCAAAAAATGAAATTAAGAAGATAATCTCATTTATAATAGCAGCAAAAAGAACAAAATACCTAGGAAGAAATTTAGCAAAAGAAGCATAAGACACTGGAAAGAAATAAAAGATTTAACCAAATGGAAAGATAATCCATGTTCATGGATTGGAAGATTTAATATTGCTATGATGGTGGTACTTCCAAATTGAACCAGAGCTTCAAGGCAATCTTTTTCAAATTCCCAGCTAGGTTTTTTACAAGCTGATCCTAAATTTGTATGGAAATGCAGGAATACCAGAATAGGCAAAGCACTCTTGACAAAGAACAGAGTTGAAGACTCACACTTCCTGATTGACCTTTACTGCAAAGCTATAGTAGTCAAGATGGTGTGGTTACGGCATAAGGATAGATGTAGGTCAGTGAAACTGAGGCTCCAGAAATAAACCTTCCTGTTTATGGCCAATTTGTTTTGAACAAGGTTTTCAAGACAATTCAATGAGGGAAAGAACAGTCTTTTCAACAAATGGTGCTGAGACAACTGGATATCCACAGCAAAAGAACTAAATTGGACCCCTACCTCATACTACACCCCAAGTTCTCAAAATTATGATCAAAATGGATCATGATCTAAAAGTAAAAATTTAAAAAACATAGGAATACATTTTGGTGGCCTTGTGTTAAACAGTGCTTTTCTATCGATGACACCAAAATCACAACCAACAAAAGAAAAAAAATAGATAAACTGGACTTGGCTAAAGGGTAACATCAAGGAAATGGAAAAAACAGTCCACAAAACCAGAGAAAATACTTGGGGTTTTTTTAGAAAATATTTGAGAATTAAATTTCTGATTCAGAGCTGGTATTTAGAACATGAAATATATAATTCCTTGACCAAAAAAAGAAGAGCAACTTTTAAAATAGACAAAGTGCTGGGCGTGGTGGTGCACACCTGTAATCACAGTGCTTACAGGCTGAGGCAGGAGGATTCTGTGAGTTTGAGGCCATATGGTTACATATATGGCTACATAGTGAACTCAAGACCAGCCTGGACTACACAGCGAAAGGCTGTCTCAAAAAACTTTAAAATAAAAAAATAAAGTGGGCAAAGTATTTGGATAAACATTGCTCCAAAGAAGGTATAAAAATGGCCAATAAGTTTGTGAAAAGATGCTCTACATCTTTAGTCATTAGAGAAATGCAAATCCAAACCACCATGAGACACCACTATACCCCCACTGGGATGTCCGTAATAAAAAAGACTGACAGTGACAAGTGTTTGTGGCTATACAGAGAAAACAGACCCCTCACTCATTGCTGGTGGGAATGTGAAATGGTGTAGCAGCTTTGGAGATCAAGCTGGCCATTCTTCAAAATGCTAAAAGAGTTATCATATGAGCCAAGATCCAACTTCTAGTTGCATAGAATCCATTGAAATCCATTGAACAATGTAGAAGAATTTGTCCCTGGATATTTGTATTAACAGATCCTAAAACTGAAATCGAAGCATCATATTAGTTAATAGGGAACTGTTCTGATATATACAGGAAAAGGAAAGTGAAAATATTATTTTCAAGTCAGTCATGACACATAAATTCATCAAACTACGTCACAAGAAACTCCTTTCATGGTCTTGCAAGTGGTGACCAGGACCAGCAGGCTATGAAGGAATGTTGACAAC